CACCTGTAGAGATTTACAGAGGTATGAAGTACTGTTTTGACATGGAACAGCAAAGGAGGGCAGTGGCTCAGCCAGAGTGAGCGAGTAGGAGCCACTGGAGCCACGCTGCTCCAGCCAGCACAGGAGCTACGGCCATAAATCGATCAGCCTTGATTAGGTTGGGCTTTACGACGCCGTAATTGTCACAGCAGCGGCTCCGGGACTGTGACATGAGCCCTGCGCTCGGCAGTGTCACACAGGCAGCCTGCACCAACCACAAACCTCTGCTAAAACCAACTGCAACAGCAAAGAACAGGAGCTGCCCAAACCCAACAGACTTTTTAAGGTTATCAAGGATAAAAGCTTCTCCACATGCTCATATGACCACAGGCTAATGCTGTGTAAGCGCCCAGCTGAGATGAGAAGGATATAACCAAGAGCACGTTTAAAGAAAGGGATATATTCACTGGAAATCTGCAGGCACAACACAAAAACCAATGTGTTTCTCACAGTGACAAGATGAAATTTTCATTTGGTCAGCAACTACAAAGTTGATTCTCTACTTCTGGCTGTGGACCACATGACAGCCTCAAGTACATAAGAGCGTTTTATCTGCCAACTTGCAATGAAGACCACATAGTTAATAGTTTGCAACCTCCTTTCCCCCAGAAGATCTTCAGAGTTGAGTAATAAAATTCCTCACATGATTTCAATGAGAGGGTTCACTTGTCAGGGGCTGTTTGGAGATAGTATCATATGTCAGGGAGGTGCTGCTCAGATCTAGTTTTCCAACCTTGTGTTTTCAAGGCTTGACTGAAAATGAAAAAAAAACAAAACAAACTTCAGGCGATAAAGTCTGAAACTGGAGAAAAGAGAAATAATCTCTAGATGCTATTTTCAAAATGTCAAACTTAGCCAATTAATGAAAGGGAGGAAGAAAAACTGATTAAAGCCCTGACAAACCCTTGAGATCACAGACTGATTGCGAGTTCTGCCGCAGACTCCCCGTAGGAACCTGGGCAAGCTGATCCCTCCACACCTTGGTATGCCACCTGCGAGACGAAAAATAGCACTTTCTTTTCATATCCTGTCATTCTTGCTTGTATTGTTCCCCAAATTAAAAGCATTTGTCAAAACACTTATCTTTAGCATTAACCCTGGGAATTGCATTCACAGCTACCACAGAACCAACCCATCTGCATGACAGAGTGCTCAGATACAAACTCTTAGTACACTTTGCTACCCAGCCATCCTAATTTAATACAAGTCAGAAGGAAGCTTTAGTCAATACAGGAATATTAGAATGCTAAAATACAGTTTGTTACTAACCTTACAAATAAAACCAGCTTTAGGGTTCCGAGTTAGAATGACTGCCTCCTTCCTCAAAAAAAATCAAATTCTCCTCATTATGTCCTAAAAATCCTGCTGTAATCACAGTATTGGTCTCACTACATTGATAACTCACAAGATCATATTATCAGGATAGGTATAATTAAAGCCCAGTCCCACGAGGACATGTATGCAGAATCCAATCCCCACTCTGCTAAAATCAGTGTAACATGAAATCAACTTCGGGGACTTTAGAACCAAAGCTGCATGAAGTTATCGACAGGAGGAACAAAGGCATCTGTTTTTTGCAATAAGATTCTTAAGCTGACAGTATTTTGATTTCAAATTCTAGAACTTTGCAGATGAAAAAGATTCGCTACAGATGCCAATATTGTAGCCTGTCATTCTGTAATGTCCTTAAATGCTCTGCACAGAAATCACTGTGAAGCACAAGTTGTTTTTTTTAGATTAAAGTGTGCTGTTGTTTCCTGAAAATTCATTTGTTTTGTAACATATACAACCAAACACCTTCCCAGACCCCTTGGTATAAGGAACAGTACAGCTTCCTCCTCCCTCATGGTTCAGTTTCATTGATTCTCCCAATTCTCCACCCAAAGACCAAAATTTCACCCCTGCCCCACTGACACACAACACAAAAAGAACAGTCCTAAAAGTTAACGACAGAACAATACCTGACAGTTCCTTAATAAAAATGCATTTTATTAAAAAGTAAGTTAGTTTTAAAAATTAATGTCAGAGCCTCACTCTTTTCCCAAATCCAGACAGCAATGAAAAAATATACCAAACACTCCCATGAACCTATGGATTATCACTAAAAAGTAAACACTTAATAATAATTTTGTTTACAAAACACTGCACAGCTATCAACTTTTAATATCCCTTTGTAAGAGACCAGTAAGACCCACACAGAAACTGCCTTAAAAATAAGCTTCCTGCAGCTGACACCAGCTACAGATTCCACGGAATTGTCAGAATCACAATGCTAGAGAGATGCACGTTGTCCAGAAAGGTCAATAAACCCAGGGAGCTGCTTGACACCGCTCAGTGAAGCACTTCTAAAGATAACCAGGCTTCATTCGCACAGGATTTTCTCCCAGATTTCCCTACCCTTCCTTAAAAATCCTGCCGTTTCACCTAGGCAGCATTCCTGTAACCCAGCTGGCAGCCTGCATACCACAATGTCGTCTAGACCTGCTCGGAACAGTGGGATGACACAGGAGTAAAAATGCTGATGCCTGTTCTGGTGCTTGCACTGCTGTTAAGTGAACGAGGGGAGGAAGAACAGGCAGCACAGAACGAAACACAAGTTCCTTGTTCCCAGCCTCCTGCCCAGGCTCGTTGGGTAATTCTGTCAACCAGACAGAAAAAGTTGTGCCCGTCACAGGGCTAAAGAACAATCTTTACAGGAGGGAAAAAGAACATTCCCAAACCCCAGTTTTCACGTGCAGAAACAAACCCTGCCCTTCCCCAGCCCAATGCTCCCCGGACTTGCAGATAACAAATGCATCCCTGCACAGACAACATTTTCTGGCCCTTTCTTCCTTCTCCCCTCTCTCCATCTCAGAGATGTTTTCTTAGCAGGTTGGAAGAGAAATGGTAAAAAGGGAGAAGCGAAACGCAGAAATAAATTAAGTTTGTTCTCTGCTGCTGACAGATTTAGTCTCAGCATGATGGAAGGAAAAAAATGTTAGGAGTGATAAATCCATATATACCTACTCCAAACTACACCCCGCTTCCCAAGGGACATGGTATAATGGTAAATAAGTATAGATGCAGTTCCTACTAATGAGGCAGGGTACAGCAAGGCCAAAGAAAATGCAATCATCTCGGGGAAAAAAACTGCACAGGACTCCTCCTCTCCCATCCATGGAGGAAATCAAATGCCAGCTGCACCATCCCAGGAAGGAAGCAGAGTCTGTACCTGATGAGCCCTGCAGAAATGAGCGAGTCATATCACGGGACCCGAGCAGGCACTTCAGGCTTTCGCCAGCCCACAAATCGTCTGCAGAGCACAATTCCTCACTCCGGTATTTTACATGGCATCATTCATGCAAATTGTAGGGGTAATTTCCCCCAGTGTTTTCTTTCTTTCCTTCCCTCCATCCCCACTAGTTTGAAGCAGGGGGACGTAGGTAGCGTCTCCCAGATCTGCGTTCCCTGGCCATCACTTTAAAGCTTTCCTCCCTACAAAGTTTAAATCTCCAGTTTTTTGTTCATAAACGTTTTGTACTTAAAAGCTACCGAACCATGCTCCCAGTGTTACTTGAACAAATTGAGACAGACCCGACTCCACGAACATGCTTAAACCTTCATTTCCTCTTCCTTCTTCCTTCCCCACCCCCAAAAGAGCATTTTTTTTCGTCCCTAACACGAAAGAACTGGGGCAAAAACAGTACATCCAACCAAAGCTTTTCCAGACCTATCGCAAAGAACAAAATGCTTCCGAAGAAGTGCTCTGCAAACATACCAAGAAACACTCCACCAACTAGGGGAAAAAAAATAACAAAAAAAAAAAAAGAATCCATCAGACAAAACTGAGGTCGAAGAAGTCGGCGGGGTCCGCCTCGGGTGTGTATTCTACACCTAAATACACTCGCCTCTTGTTTTGTTTTAACCCCGAAGCTGAGGCAAACACTCCAGCAGAATTCTCTACCGCTTCCCCGACCGCTCCTGCGGGCAAACCGTTCTGACCCAAAACCATCCCGGACACGGGACACAAAAGCATTTACCCCCCACCCCCGCTCCCCACCTCTTCCTAAGAAGTACAAAACAAACAAGCGTCTGACACCCCACCCAAGCTCTCCTCGCACATTTTGGGAATGACTTCCCTCCGGGTCCTCCTCCTCCCCCACCCGTTCCCATGTTAAACTCTCCAGCAAACATACACCCTTCGGGTTTCACGCCTTTGCCCTCCCCGAAAACCTCCCGAAGCCGCGGGAGCTGCTAGAGATCTCGCAGCCCTGGGAGCCGGCGGGGTTTGGGGCACCCCTGAGCCCCGTTTCTCGACCTCCACCGGCACAAAGCTGCCGAAAAGGAGCCCCCGAAGCCCTCACACAGCCCCAGCCAGGGCAGAGCTCACCGGCAGAGTGAGAAGGCTCCGTGCCCGGCTCCATCCCTGAGGAGTCGGTCCCTCTTTCCCCTGCCGTCCTCGGGGGTCCCCGGGACAGGGAGCGCCGGGGGTCGCACCAGCCTACCCCAAAACTCCGCGGCGAACAACATCCGAACACCCCCAAACCGCAGCACCCACCCAGGCTGAGGGGGCTCCGCGGCCGTCACTCCGTGCCCCACAGCCGGGAGATGGGAGGAATCAAAATAAATATACAAATGGCAGGAACAGCGAACCCCAATGGTGCCCTGCCCTCCCGCTGCAGCCTCCCGGGGACACCTTCCTCCTCCTCTTCCTCCTCCCCCGATCCGGGGGCACCCGCGGAGCCCCCCAAAGCCGCGGCTCCAACTCTGCCGCCCGGGCTGAGGGGCTGCCCCTGCCCACCCCTGCCCGCCCCCGGCTGCCTCCTCACGCACATCCCGCTCTCCGGCTCGGCGCGACTCCCGGCGGTGCCGGCGGAGGGGAGACCCCTTCCCGCTGCCCTCCCTCCCTCCAGCCCCCCCCCCCGCCCGCCCCCTCCCCTCGCCACCGCCGCTCCCCCCCCGTATTCTCCCTCGACACTCACCTCTGGGTGCTGCCGGCGCCTCCGCCTCACCATGGACCGGCGGGACTGGGGGGGTCCCCCCGCCCCAGATTGAGGGGGGATTAACGGGGGGCGCGGAGGGACGAGAACAATAGGGGGGAGGAAATCCCTCAGCCCCCCCACGCCCCCCGAGGACACAGCCCCCTCCCCGCCTGGCGCTCCTCCTGCCGCTCCCTCTCTCTTTTTTTGGTTTTTTTTTTTTTTTTTTGGCTCAATCACACCAGACCGACTGTCTTTGTCTGTCTGACAAGCGCCATGTTGATATCAACATCCGAGCCCCCACCTGCTGCAGCTGTGAGACCCTGGGACTTGTAGTTCCCCCCTCCCCAGGGTGACGGGGAGACCCGCTGCTCCGAGACTACAATTCCCAGCGTGCCGCGGGTACGTGGCGCGCCAATGGGGCGGCGGAGCTGAGGTCGGAGCGGACTACAACTCCCGGCGTGCCTCGGGCGGCCATGACGTTATCTAGGGCGGGGGGCCGGCGAAACTACAATGCCCATGATGCCCCGGAGCGCAGCGGGGCGGGCAGGAAGGAGGGTAGGATTGTCCCGGTAAATAGAACCGGGGGACGCGATGAAGCTGGTGAGTGCCCGGGGCGGGGGGCCGTGAGGGCGGGGAGGGAGCTTGGCCTTCCCCAGGCGGCGGGGGGGGGAACTCCCGACGTCGCCTGCGGGCTGCGCAGTCTCAGCCTCGCCGAGCGTGAGGGGAAACTGAGGCGCTGGAGGGTGGTGGGCTGAGGGAAAAGGGGGAGAGGTGATCCTGAGGGAGTCGGGGTGGGGATTGAGGGATAAAGGGGAGATACTGGGGCGGGGAGGGGCTGAGGGAGGGACGGGAGTCGGCCCTGAGGTGTGGGGGAAGGCGGGGGTCGGCCCTGGGTGGGGAGGATTAGGGGGGGCCGTTGCCCAGGTTTGAGGCGTTGGGTGGGATCAAATCTTAGTAGGCTTCTGGAGGAGGAGGAGAAAATGTTTCTCAGCCTTCCTAGCTCTAAACATGAGTCTGGCGTGGAGCTTTCCCCCTGCACGTGTGGCTTCTGCTGGGCTCTGCTAGGAACATGAATAAATCCCTGTGGTTTGTGATAAAGACGTTTTCCATCTGCAGTGTGATAATATAGGGAGATACTAATAAAAAAAAATCAGCCTGGAACAGCTTTGCCAAGGGTGTACCTTGCTTCTTACAAGGATTTTGGTTTTGATATTACAGTCTTCTGTCAGAAAGTACATGACCCATGATATTGGTCTCCTCTTTTGAACTGTTTAACTTTCCTAGAGACCTTGGATTCAGGCACTGCTTTGGTTTCCAGGAAGAATTTCAGTTTCACATAATGTGCTGCAGTTCTCGGTCTGGAGGTGAAAACCCAAGCAGTTTTCGACATACCTGAGCATAATATTTGATGTATTTAATCTGAAGTAGCACCATTATTCAATTTAAAATTGTCTCTTGGTTTTGAGACTGAGCAGTGTGTTATTATAAAGCTTTATAGAAGTAAATGTGGATTCTGGGCTGTTTTTAGACTTTTAGGAAACCACTCTCCATGGAAGTGTGTCCAATTATTTCCAGAGGCAGGTGGTCAAGGAGCTTGATCCTGCTTAATCTTACTTGTGTGATAAGGATCTGTGCAGGGATGAGTTTTACCAGTGGGACAAACACTGCAAAGTCAAGCACTTCTGGGTGTGATTGTAGAGGCTGATAGAGTTCAGTGGGGAAAAGCAAACTGGGAAACCTTTAAATAAAGACCCCAGTGAAAATGCAGAGCTCTTTTAATGTTTAGAGTCTTGCATAGGGGTAGGGAGGGGGAATGCAAACTGTCTGGACTCTGTATTGGAGCATTTTTAGACCTATTTTTAAATTCAGGTACTGAGAATTATGAGATTCTGCACCACATATCTTTCTGGAGATGTGTCTGAATTTGGGATTGTGAGGAGAGGAGTCAGATGCTTTTCATCCTCTTTTCTCATAGATTTGGGTTGAATTTGGAAGAACAGGGTAGAGGTGAGGGACTAGTGGAATGTTCCCTGTCCAGAGGGGTTGGGATAAGATGAGCTTCAAGGTCACTTCCAACCCAAACCATTCTGGGATTCTGACTCCAGACCTGATTCAGAATCCAGTGGAAACGTCAGACGCCCACAAACTCAAATGTGCTTTGGCTCAGGCAAATCTCAGTGCTCTTTTCCCCCCAGATTTTAAGCTGGCATGTGATGCTAATACTGGAGGAATGCACTGCAGGATTTCTTGGCTACACTTGGAATTCCAAGCTCTGCCTTTAACCTGCACAACTCTGAATGTTTTGGAGCCGCAAGTTTGAGCCACTATCTCTGTCCTCTGTCACTCTGCCCTCCATGAGATGCTCAGTGGGAATGGGATGTCTGTGGAGAACCTTCTTCTCCCAGGCCCTGAGAATCTGGAATCAGCCCCTCAACCTGGGCCCTTTGTGCCTCACTGCCAAACTTTCATCGCATTTGCAAATCCTGCCAGGAAATCTGTGAGCTGAGCTGGGCGTATTTATTTTTGTGTGTTTTGTGTCTTTTTTTACATGACTTTTGGAGTTAGGAGATGAGGCACCTTTGTGTGTTGGCTGTACCAGCCTTTATCCATAAGAGAATAAAGCTGGAAGCAAACAAATAATGGGACAAAAAACTTACATTTTAGTCCAGTCAGGAACGTGACTGAAAGTTCTGGCTCTGTTTTAAACAGTAACAAATACAAACTGTGAGGAAATTATCCCATTTATAATGTGTGTAGAGACACACATAGTGCAAACACTCCCATTCCTGGATTCCCAGTCTAAAATTCTAACAGAGGTGCAGGCCCAGCAATGTCACCTGTGCAAACAGCTGTACAGAAAATATGAATTGCTTTTTATTTTTCTGTCACTTTGTTTGAATCTGGTAGAAAGAATCCATTGACTCCCAGGAATCCATTTACCACAGCATGACAGCCACAGAGAGAGATGATTTTAACTGCTTTTAAAGAAGGAAAAAAGGAGGATTTTCCAGTTAGCCCATAGATGTCAGGGTCGTGATACTACTCATGATTATAAAAACAGGCAAGAAAATGTTTTGCTGATAAAAGTGGTGATATTTCATTGCCTTTTTAAATTACCAATAGTTTAAAAGCTACAAAAATAGAACTTATTTTTCCCTTCATTTCTTTCTATTTACTTCAATTTATAGCTTCATTTGTCAAAGTTCTGGTCTGGTGAGAACTTAATTTCATGTGAGTGTGTTACATTTGTGAATAAACCAACTGAATTCCTCACTCCTTCACCAGCTTGGCTTTACATGTTTTTTTAAACTTTACTAAAAGAAAGGCAAAGTGTGATGTAATTCCTTAATAATTAAAGCTTTGTGAATTTAAAACAAAACTCTCTGTGATATTTTAAATTTAATATTTGGGGCTTAGTCGGTTTAACTATTTAAATATAGTTTAAAGCAGGTTTTTGAGGAATGTATGTAAATAGCCTTCTTGAGGGCTGTTAATCCAGACAGTTACAGTTCTGTGTTAACATTATTGTGAGAAGAGGTAGAAAATGAAATTATTAATCTCCCTTTTTCCCACTTTGTAGAGGGAAGTATAGAACACAAGCTTAACAGATAAATGACTTACAAAAAGGCTGTTTTTAGTACAGTGCACGGCCAAACAAGTAGTATTTTTCATCTTCATTGACAAAAACTTGAATTTAAAAGCTCCAGTTTGACCTGAGCATGGCTGTGCTGCCAGGTGCCCAGACTTGGGAGGCTGGAGATGCAAAATCCCTCCTCGGAGCAAAGGAACCCTCCTGCAGAGGTGGCCACGCTCCCGCTCAGACATTTGTCTCTAATCCCACATTTTAAAGCTGACCTTTCTCTTCTGTTCTCCCTCAAAGCTCCCGTGCCTCGTTAAATGTTTGTCACTCCAGACAGGAGGTGGCTGCATCTCAATGATGCTCAAGTGCCCCCTACATCACCTGCTCACCGGCTCATTAAGCTTGCAAAGCCTTTGGGATTTGGATATACAAACCCTTCCATTCAGGTGGGGATGCCCAGTCCCTGCTGCTTCCTGTTTGTGTTTAGCTAGACAAAAAGTAGGTGAGAACTTGCCCCAGAGCTGCTACACCTGTGCAGGGGTTGTTGGGGCAGGTTTCTTACCAAAATAAAAACTTGTGTTCCTGCAGGGCTTCTCTGCTTCACTGTCCAACTCGAGTCATTTTCAGATTTTCTAGCCAAGTTTTGTCAGGAGGACTGAGCTTGGAAGAAGCTGATTTGCTGGGGTTTTGGGGGAAATAGGTGATTGCAAGGAAAAAAAGAGATTTTGCATGTGTTCTGAATCGGAGAGAAGAGCTTTGCCATCCACTCAACCCTTAGGGTCAGAAAAACTGTCTGAAGTAAATCTGACCCTTAATACCATGACATGGGGAAATCTCAACACACACAGCTGTGGGACACAGATTAATGGGAAATCATGTTTTATTATGGTGTGTAAGGAAATGTGTTTAAAAACAAGGGGGGAAAGGCAGTTTGTAAACTCTGTTCACAGAATCACAGAGGTTAGAAAAGACCTCCACGATCGAGTCCAACCTGTGACTGACCTCACCTCGTCACTGAGTGCCACATCCAGTCATTCCTTTGACACCTCCAGTGATGGGGAATTCAAACCCCCCCCTGGGAAGCCCCTCCCAATGCCTGACCACCCTTTCCTTGAAGAAATTCCTCCTGATGTCAAACCTAAACCTCCCCTGGCACAATTTCCTCTCATCCTGTCCCTTTTCCCTGGGAGAAGAGCCTGACTCCCGCACCCCCAGCTGCCCCCTCCTGTCAGGGAGTGCAGAGCCAGAACGTCCCCCTGAGCCTCCTTTTCTCCAGGCTGAGCCCCTTTCCCAGCTCCCTCAGCCCCTCCTGGTGCTCCAGACCCTTCCCCAGCTCCGTTCCGTTCCCTGGACATGCTCCAGCCCCAATGTCCTTGCAGTGAGGGGCCCAGAGCTGGACACAGGATTTGAGGTGTGGCGTCACCAGTGCCCAGCACACAGGGAAGGGTCATGTTCTGAAGGGTCCTGAGTAACTTCTCCTCCTTCTTCCAGTACTGCCTGTCAGGACATCCAACCTTGCCATGCAACGTGCTCAAGTTCAAATCCACCACCATCATGCTGG